CCCCGCCCGCCCCTACGCGTCTCGACCCGCAGGGCTCAGCGCAGGACCCACTGGACAGAGGCCCGCAGGGCTGCTCTCCTGCCTGGTGGGGGAGACCCCTCATGGGGCTGTCCCCAGATCCCAGGCTCTGTGGCTGCAGCAAGGACAGGAGGGGACGACCCCGCTGGGGTGGGCCCTGGCTCCGTCCCGGCTGGGTCTGGACTTCCTGGTGGCTACTCCTGCCCCTGCCCAGCGCGGCCTGCGTCCTGGTGGGCTAGACTATGGAAGGCGAGCTCTGCCCTTCCCCTGCAGGCTGGGCCAGTCGGGACCCAGACTTCCCAGGGGAAATGTCAGCTCAGGACGCTCGCGTGGCGTCCCCTCAGCGGGTGTCCCATTCCAGAGGTGGGAGAATTCCGGGGTTTGGGGGGGGCCCAGGCCGCACAGCAGGGAGGGACCAGGTGAACCCTGCTGACCTTGGCTTTTTAGACAGGGAGCGGTGGGCAGGCGTCCTCCTGGTCAAGGGCGCTGGGCTCCACGTGCGGTTGGGGTTTCGGTCGGACCTGGCCACTTGCTCTCTCACTTTCCCTCTTTCTCTCACTCAGTCCCTCTCTGGTCAAACTCAAAATAAATACATAAATAAAGTTAAATAAAATAAATCTTTAAAACCAAAAGAAGAGGGACAGAGTGGAAGCACAGTTCTCCAGGGGCAGTTTCTCTCTCCTATTGCTTTTTCTCCTTCTTTTCTTCTCCCCTAGGAGGAGAGGTCTCATGGCGCTGCTCCGCCTGTCCCCAGGCAGAGCTTCGCTGTGACAGTGCTCACCTCCTCCAGGGCAGGCCCAGAAGCGTTTGGGTTCCCCCTTTGGGAGTCAAAGTCCGTGGTCGCTCGGTGTCGCTTCGAGATGAAGTGTCCATTTCTGTACCAGAACCCTTTATTTTTGACAAAGGTATGTAAAAAACGGCATTTCCAAAAATTATCAACTTTTTTGTCTTTTTCACTTTTATGAAAGAATCCTCCGACAAACTCAGTTCATTGGGAAAAACCGCAGCCCCAGACAAGTGGTGCTCGCTCTGAGCTGAGCCCGAGGTCGCAGTGGGCTCGGTGCTCACTGAGCAGTCGCTGCGCCTCTGCAGAATGGGGCAGCAGGAGCCTGGGGTGGGGCCGCTCAGAGCGCGATGGAACCGATCTGGGCGTTCCAGGTGGGACGTTCTCTGGGTGACAGAGCGGGGTTCCCCAGCTGGAGCCCAGTGGTAAAGTCACGGGCGAATAACAAGCAGATGGCTTTTCTGGGATGGCACTCGGGAAAGCCCTCGGAA